TAGAAACTTCTGAGAGGTCCGGCGCAGGTGCAGAATAATTGTGTGCATTCACAGAGACCACAAAGAACAACAATAGCTTTAAAAGAACAAAAGAAAGCAAATAAAAGCAATTCACTCCTAATATAATATTCACTCCTAAAGTTCCTGCCACCACAACAATACCCCATATATAAAGTTTTGAAATAGACTCAGAACTACTAATGCATCATTTCCTTTAAACATGGATAAACCAGATGACACCACCGCTTAATATTCAAGACAGTCAAAACTGAAGGCTGTCCATGTCCAAAGTTCATCTTAAATTTATAGCAACATGTTTCCATTTATTCCAATCTGGCAGACCAATAACAGAACCTGTCACAACTGAGGCCATTCTGGAATTAAAACAAAAATGTTTTTATTTCCATTTAGGCAGAATGTTGACTCCACTGACCTTTTGTATCCTTTAGGTTTTTTTAATGATTTCAAAGTTGCATTAGAGCAGTCTCGAACTCAATTTACCTGGGGGCCGCTGCAGGCAGAGGCTGAGCGAGGCTGGGCTGCATCAGATTTTCCGCCAAGCGGAGCAAGAGCCCGAGGAAACCGCACAGGTGTTTCCTTAGCCCGGCTGGGGCTCAGAGGAAGAGGAGGAGGAGGAGAGGGGCGTGCGAGCCCTAGTTGCTGGCCATGACCCCCTCTGGCTCCTTCTTCACTACCAGCAGCAGCAGCGGCAGGACGACGAAGAAGTGGAGGAGGGAGCGGAGCGCCAGCGACCGCCTAGCCGGGGGGAGGAGGGCACGACATACAGTAAATTTTTTTTTTAAAAAAACCCTCACAGAATTCACCTTGCCAAAGGAGAAAAAACCCCACCGGCACCCGTGAAATTAAACAGAAAGGGGCGGGGGACCCCACAGGTGCACGTGTGTGTGCGCACACACAAACACATGGAGGTCCAGCAAGCTTCCTCTGAGGGGCCCCCTCAAAAAAAGGCGCACTCAGCAGCAGCTACCCCCACCATGACAGAGGAGCAAATTTTGTGAGACAAGCCCAGGCAGCCTACAGAGCCGAGGCAGCTGAAGCAGGACGAAGAGGAGGAGGAAGAAGCACTGCTGGGTGCTGAGGCGGTCGCTGGCCGGGCTGGTGCTGGGGGTGCTGAGAGAGAAACAGAACCAGAGAGTCGCTTCCCTCTTCAAGGACGGGCCAGGAGTGAGTTCCGCTTTCAGGCATTGCGCGGCGGTGGCTTGGGCACTCTGGGGAAAAGGGCCAGCAGCCTGCCTCGCTTGCCAGCTCTCCCCCGAGACAGCACCTCTTGCACCCTCCATCCAGAACTGCAGCCTGTCAGCCGGCAGATACACAGGCTGACTGGCAGTCTGAAGTTCCAGATGGATGGTGCAGGAGGCGCTGTCTTGGGGGAGAGCCGGCGAGCAAGCTGACGCTTTTTTTGACTCTTGACAGCAGAGGACGTGTGAGCGCTTCAGGGGGAGGCAAGGTGGGGCCACAAACTATCATCCAGCAGGCCGCAAATGGCCCCCAGGCCGCATGTTTGAGAACCCTGTATTAGAGATTATTCAGCTTAGATCACACAGATATTTGCTGTTTTTTCCTATACAGACATCAAAAGGTATTCACAGTTATATATAATGTAATTTTTATGTATAGCTACTAGGAGTGATATTGCTAGCTAGTAGTGGTAGTATAAAAATTCTAAAATTTGACATTGTTTAACCAGGAGGAAAATTAATACAGTGGTGCTCCGCTTGACAACAACCCCGCTTGACGGCAACCCCGCTTGACGACGAAATCGCTTGATGAAGTTTTTGCAATCGTAATAGCGATCGCAAAACGATGGTTCCAATGGGTTTTTTTCGCATTATGGTGATTAGGAGCCTGCTTCATGAACTGTTCGTTCGCTAAATGATTATTTTTCCGGTTCTGCAAAATAGCTCCCCTCCCTTTGCAAAATGGCTGCTTTCCTGACCCCTGCTTCGGAAGACAGCGATTTTAAACAGTTGATTGGCGGTTCTCTATGGGCGATCTTTGCTGCTATTTCCCCACTGGAATGCATTAATCATTTTTCAATGCATTCCAATGGGGTGGTTTTTTTCCGCTTGATGACAATTTCGCTTAACAGCGATTTTCCTGTAATGAATTATCGTCGTCAAGCGGGGCACCACTGTAGTTCTTGCTTTTTTTAAAAAGTATGAAGGCCTTGTTTTAATTAACACTTAATAATATATTCCAGAGGCTTCAAATATAAATCCATGTATGCTATAATAATTCAGTACACCACAAATCAATCTATTTATTTAACATATACTGCCCAATAGTGTGATATACACTCTCTGGGTGTTTAACAACCATATAAACTACAAATAATACTGTAACAACAAACAATAAATAATAAATCTAATTTGCGTCTTTTGCGAAACCACGTTAGGACTCTGCAGGCAGTCCCGTTCAATTTCCAGAGAAATATTTTCATGCTTCAATTACCCTTTGCTAATACTATTAACGGATTTCTTTGTCTCATTTGTATTCCATCTGTCTCCCAGTGAGGGGACCAAAGGCAGCTCAAATTGCTTAAAACACAATAAATTACAATGTTAAAAACAATTAAACATAATACTTTAAAAGTTTATCTAAACATTTTAAACCTTAAAAACACACTTTAAAAGAACATATGACCAGCATCCAGGAGGGACTCAATCATATCCAGTTTAGTTATTAAAAGCCTACCTAAAAGGGAACATCTTTAACAGCTGCTTTAAGAAAAAAGGGGGCCAATATAACCGCTGGAGAGAGAGCATTCCACATACTGGAAGCAGCCACAAAAAAGGCCCATTCCTGTGTCCCTGTCAAATATACCTGCAAGATGACAAGAGGACCAAGAGAAGGGCCTTCTCTGAAAATCTTAGGTGCAAGGAAGGCTCATATGAGGAAATATAGTTCTTCATATAACCTGGAACCAAATGACACAGGAGGGATAGAGTTGGGTGGCATCAGCATGCTGGTGGCACCAAATTACAAAGCTCCAGACAATCTGTGCTAGTAGTTTCATGAATACAACATAGGGTACAGACCAGAACATGAGTAGACATGGTCTAGAGGGGCGGGGTAAAAATCAAATAAATAAATAAATAAAATAAATGAGGGACATTACAGGCCAATGGCCACTGCATGGAACAGCCATCCTCCAGCACCACCTTCTGGAGTTGCCAATCCAGTAAGTACAAGAGCTATTGTAAAACAGTGTCTCCAAAAGAAAGCCCAGAAGAATACATGATCACACATTCCCCCTTCCAGTTCCTGATGTAGGTCATCCACCACAATGATAAAAGTCCCACAATGGGACTTCTCAACATTACCCCCATAACCAACTCAGCCAGCTCAGGAAGAAAGATTCTTGAGCAGTAAGTGACCACAATCTTCCTCATTTTGCCCTTCCTTCATTGCCATAATCCTCCCTTCCAGTCTTCTGGGTTTTTGATTATCTTTTCTTTGAACTCAGATCTCACTGACCTTCCCTTTCATTCTCTCACATTTGCACATCTGTTTCTTTCTCTTCTTTCCTTTCTCTGCCATTTTCTTCATTCATGAAGAAAGTGGCAGATAAATTTTCCTCAGTTTCTTCATTCATGTTCTCTCTTCATGAAGAACAAATGCACTTCAAATTCAAATAGGAGGACTTTAAACCTGCACTTGCTGCTTTGCACTGTTTTCCACTATGTGGGCAGAACCAACAAAATGCTGGGGTCTGAATTACAGTAACAATTGAGGCAAAGGGCCTGGATATGTGTGAAGGAGAGAAAGGGAGTGAGCCGTCCTCCTCTATCAAAGGAGCAGAAGGAGGAACAGAATGTGTAGAAGGGATATTAGTGGAGGTGGACCCAGATGACAGAGAGGTGCAGCAACATAGGGAAGTGTATTTGGCTGACGAGAAAGGGAAGGAGCTAAACTTGATTGTATGGGAGGATATAAATGAAGGGGAAAAGGCGGGAAGCTTTAGAGTGGTAAAGAGTGAACCGGCAGACAAGAAAGACAGGTCTGCTCAGACAGAATGGAGCATGGGCCATGAGTGTTTTCTGAAGAGTTCCCGAATTTACAAGTGGATGGAGGATTGCTACTGGGACCTCTGGAGTTCGTCGTGCGCAGTCAAGAGGTAGAACCCCTGGAATGGACTGTGGTAGTTTACCCACGCAATCAGCGGGGGGGGGTGATCCGTCCCAGTCCCTCTTTATTACAGAGTCAGCGGGAGGGGACTGGGTGAGACACCCACGTTGTGGGATGGTTTGCGCAGTACGGACCATACCGATCCACCCTATGACCGCCCGGGAGCGATTTGGGCCAGCCCCCCTATGAGAAGGAAAGACAAAGAAATAACCACAAGAGTTCGGAGTTGTAAGTTGTTACCAGAGTTAAGTTTAATGGACCCGTTCGAGCCAGATGACTTAAGTTTGTTCACAAATAAACTGATTCTGTTCAAAAAGAAGATCAGCCTCCTGTCCTTTTTCCCGCGCTGTCAACGGAACCGCCCCTGGCAGAACCGACCCGGAGTTACAATATGAAACAAGATTTTCTTCCAAAACAAACTTCCCATGTCAAAAAGCCTACAGAAACTACGAAAATATCTTGGTGGCTGAAGAAAAGGTAATTTGCTAGCTAAGCTGTGACCTTTTTCCCCTAGCACACATGACAGCAAACTTGGGCACATATTCAGCTTTCACAGTGTTACTTGCATATACCATTCGCTATAGCTATAGCTGGCCTTTATAGTTGAATTTTAATGTCCTCTCTTTATTCTTTTATGAAAGGTAAGAAGAAAGCATCTGTTCCTATCTCCTAATCAGTTGAATAATCCTATCCTGGTCTCTTCCAATTTAACAGCAAATTAGCAGTTAAAATGTCTGCAAGAACACTGCTCTGACACAGAAACTTACTTCAAAGCATAAACTATACTAAGAAAGAAATATTGGTAGTTATTTTTATATTTATTTCAAAAAAAATTGAAATGCTTTACTTACCATTTTCACTATGTCAGAATATGCTGATTCAGTAATCACACCACGATTTGTTGAAACATATTCCACCAGTTCATTCAGGGTTGCTCTTTTAATTTCTTTGCTCCTCAGGTCAGAGACAGAGTCCATGAAATCAAACAATACACAACATTGCTGCAATTTCTGACAAAAAAGGTCTTGCTGTTCATTTGTAGTGGCATCTGTAAGGGGAAAAAAGTTCAAGAATTAAAATATTCAGTTCCATATGGTAAATGTATAAAAGTAATTTACCATCCTGATGGTAACAGAAATCAAGTACTGTATAATGCCAAGCAGGCTGCATCAAATCCAACATTCTATTAACATATACACATTTGCATTATCTTACATGTAAAGAAAGCCATCTTCTCTCCTTTCCCCAACAGGAAATATTAACTTTTAAAAAGAAAAGAATTGATTTAAAATTCTATGAATGTTTTAAAAATAAATTATTATCTTTTGTCCACCCTGCATAGCAGGAGATGTCTGAAATCTAACCTGTGTACATACATATTAAGCCGAAGATCACACAATGCTGTGAAATCCTCCAAGGAGGTCGTGTTTGCTGATATATGGGGAGATCCCAAAGTTTTGTTCAGCCTGCTCCCTTTAAGTGCCCACTCAGATGCACCCTCATAAGAAAGACAGCATGGCCAATTTTCAAAGTGTGCTCTTGTTTTTGTCACCTCCTCATCTCAGGTGCTTAAGCAGACAGCCTATCTTGTAAAATTTCATGTGAACAGTTGGGTTTTTTAAAAAATTAAAAAATAATGGATTCATATTAAGCAAAATTACTAAACCACTCTGCTTCTCTTTATCAGCTCTTTCTTCACACTCCTGGCAGTAAACAGAAAAAAATTAGCCAAGTTATTTATCCATAGAAATGAAGTTCTAGGTTGGGTAACACTTTTAAAGTGAGCTTTTAAGTTGTATCAGAACTCTTCATCTTGTAAAGATGTTATAAAACTTAAGAGCAGAGAGGAAGCAAATAGTTTGGCCCAATTTCTAGTAAAACGTAAAAACTTGCCTTGTTTGTACATTTTTAATTATCCAATATATAAATTATTCTTTTTTTCCTCAGAACAAATACATCAATACAAAACAATACAAAATACTGACTAACAATCTAAAACCCAGTGCACCTCCATACCTACGGGACCCTTTGGAGTAATTCTTTTATTACGAACCTCTTTTCCAAAATTGTTTTGATAGTTGCTTAGAGGCTTTCCCCTTTCCTTTCACTAATACAAATTCAATAAATCTACCCCAAATAGCATAAAAATATTCAAACTTACTTCCCCTCTCTCCATCTTTAGTTCAGTAGTCAATTTCTCATTTAATGCAATGTCCCATACTTCGTTATACCAATCTTCTAATTTGATATCATGTTTGTCTTTCCAGTATCTAGCTATTAATAATCTACCGTGTTTCCCCGAAAATAAGACAGGGTCTTATATTAATTTTTGCTCCAAAAATGCATTAGGGCTTATCTTCGGGGTATGTTTTATTTTACAGTCATGTCATCTTCTGGTTGCTGCACAATGCTGCACAATGGCGGAGGGCGGGATTTCACTTATCTAGGGCTTATTTTTGGAGTAGAGTTTATATTACGAGCATCCTGAAAAATCATACTAGGGCTTATTTTCAGGTTAGGTCTTATTTTTGGGGAAACAGGGTAGCACTTGTCATAAAATTAGAGATCAATTCCTTTGAGAAATAATCAAGTTCTATCTTATCAAAAATTGACAGCAAAGCAATTTTTGAGTTTAATTCAATATCTTTTCCAAATATATCACATATTTCCTTAAAAATCAATTTCCAAAATTTCTGAATCAATTTACACTCCCACCACATATGATAATATGTGCCAGTTTCTTCATCATATTTCCAGCAGGTCTTAGAATAGTCTGAATTTATTATGTTCAGTTTCACCAGAGTCATGTACCACCTTAAACTAATTTTTTTAAAAATCTCCTTTATTCTTACCGGCATTAATCTTAGAACTCTCATCTTCCAAATTTTTATCCAATCCTCTGTTCTAATTTCTGTCTTTAAATCATGTTCACAAATTGATTTAAATCCTCTGTTTCAATCTCATTTTCCTCCTTATCCAAAATTAGATTATAAATTTTACTTACTACTCCCTTCTTCAAACCATCCTTCTGCATGTCTTCATGTGATGATAGAAATTGTTCATACTTAGTACATTCTAAACACTAAAAACACTACAACTATGGAGACGAAACAATGTGTTTGGACACACTTTTCAAACGCTGGTACAAGTCAATCTTGCTTTTATACAAACATGATAAAAATAGTAGGCAAACATGTATGAAAATAGCATGTAGTAAAAAAAATAAGCAGGAAGACTTTCCAGTGTCTTCTACTTGCTAAACAATGTACAAAGGTGGGCTTTGCCCTTTAGAAAAAGAAGAGAACTTTAAAATGGTCTAATTGAAAATCTTCTATTCCAGTCCAGAAGTCAACTGACTTTGCTCACATCATTTACTGCAATGTTTAAACATTAAATTTCCTGCTTTATTGCTTTAAGTTTAAACTGATCCATATTTATCACATTCCATGTTCCAATTATGTGTCTTACAGTCTCAGACTTTTCGTTTGTCTCTGTGCAGATCAGCCATTAGACATCCTTCTCAGCTTTAATTTAGCTCAACAGTTCCCACTCTTTTTTCAGCTGTATATCCCTTGGCGGCCCATTCCCTTAAGGAGAGAGGGAGGGGCTAGGGGTCTCTCCACTTTCTCATGTGTAGGCTGCTTCCTCACGACCTCTGCTACTGTGCACAAGCAAGCCTGTGAAAGGGTTAAAATCTATAAGGAATTTTGTCCTGTACAAACTGCTGTTGATAGGAAAGGAACAGATGGTACAAGCCCCCAGGTTAGTGTCGGAACAAGAACAGACGCCACTTTGGAGTGAAAGACAATTGACCAGGCCCTCACATGGTGGGTAGAGAGAGAAGGAAGAAGCCAAGAGTTTTCTCATTGCTCAGAATATAAGTGATTTACACTTATTTACATTTATGCACCTTTTCCAACAATTATTCAGGTTTTTTCACATACCCCTAAATGTCCTGGTTCACATCCCTGGAGGTACACATACCCCAGCTTGGGAATCAATGAACTAGCTGCATGATTAGCAACCTGTTCTTTGCTCTTCTCAGTAGCTCACTGAATGCTTTCTCAACTGGGAGTCTCACCTTCCAATGCTATCTTTTGCTTCCTTTGAGGGGGGTCATTGAGAAGTTTTCAAGGTAAGAAACATTCAAAAGTGGTTTGTAACTGTCTTCATCCACACAATTCTAACAAAAGTTAGCAGCAGTGATCTTGAAGCTATCTGTGAAAAATCCTCTGCTGGAGGCATACTCCGCTACCATGCATGGATATTTAACATTATACAATCCAGGACAGAGAACTGAGGACAGCAACTATATCTAACCAGAAGGTAATACTGTTAATCTGGCTGCAAATGGCTCACCTAATGTGTAGACTGAATTTTATCCCACCTTCACTGATATGGGGTTTACAACATTTCTGTGTGTCTCTATTTCCGACTCTTGAGAGTCTGCTGGACTGCAAGGAGATCAAACCTATCTATTCTGAAGGAAAGCAACCCTGAATGCTCACTGGAGGGACAGATCCTGAAGCTGAGGCTCCAATACTTTGGGCATCTCATGAGAAGAGAAGACTCCCTGGAAAAGACCCTGATGTTGGGAAAATGTGAAGGCAAGAGAAGAAGGGCACGGCAGAAGACGAGATCGTTGGACAGGGTCATCAAAGCTACCAACATGAATCTGACCAAACACCGGGAGGCAGTGGAAGACAGGAGGGCCTGGCGTGCTCTGGTCCATGGGGTGACGAAGAGTCGGACACAACTTAATGACTAAACAACAACAAATTTCCAACCAAGAACGAAGTTTATGCTTGAATATAAGGTGCTAGAGGGAGGAAACACTAAATGACTGTCAACCCTTTGTCTTAACATTCCAGTCCATATCACCAGAGGTGGAATCTGAAACCTGCACCTCTGATCTGAGTCTGCAGTGTCCACTTTGAAACTCACTTTTAACAAAGGAGCTTGCCATGCAGAGCTGGACATTTTTTAAAAATTCTGCATCATTCACAAATCTGTCACAGCTATCACCCACACTTGCTTTCAGATTGTGCCCTTCAAGAATTTACCTGATCCACGCCCCGCCCCACAACCACAACTGAAACTATGAATTCTCTCTCTTCTACTCTGAACACTATTTCTGAAGTGGATTAATGCATTTTAGTGTATCAGCTTTGACTTTTCCACTTCCAGTGACCCTCTTAGGATTTCCAATTCAAAAGAGAGTCTAGCCTATGAAGGCATTGCTCTCAGATTCTTTTACCCTATTTAAGAGGGCATCCAAGAGGAATGGATTACTGAACTTTAACAAAACAAGAACTTCAATAGAAACTGGGACAAGTCTTACAAGATAAACTAATAAGATATGTAAACATTGAGGTCGTCTTCTTTTCTAAAATAAATGTGGGATTGAGGTTTTTTCCTTCCTGAAACAAATGCAGGATTGTAACCATTAAACAAAATAGAATTAAAGATCAAAACTCATGAAGATTGTCCCACTTATTTTTATCTTTTTCAGGTGCAATAATGACAAAAAAGATGTATGTGATCATGGAAACACTTTGGCATTGGATACTAAACTTTTTCTTAAATATATCACACACCCTGAAACCCTAACACTAATGTAGCTTTTTTTCTCAGTTCATTTTACCCAGTTTGCCTAAAGGCTCACACATCATTTTCCATTTATGACATTAAGCTCATTCCACACTGACATAATACATGCTAAATTCAAACTGAAACCTTCACCAATGACAAATACGCAAGTTGCAGCACCAAAAGAACAGAAGAACCCTGGAGTGGAAGCAGGTTATTTTTAAAGTAAGGTTATTTTAACATGCCTGAAAATCCACCTCAGAACAGCTTGATGTTTTGAGCTGCACATACTTAGCAGAAACAGAGTGGTTTACAACTCAGCCACTTTACCACTATATGGCCTTTCCAAAGATGTTCAAACCATGGCCCTACAGCATCCTTGTGTTAAGCCAGGACACAATTTGCATTCATATAAACAGATGCAAACTTAAAGGCAGGTGTTAGAAGGGTAGCTATATA